CCTGTACAAATCATTAATTTGGAATATAGATCTGTAATATGTGTATTCTGCAAAGAATAATGTAAACTTGAAATATCCAATATTGTTGTAGGAGTTACAGTATCTACACAGTCAATATTTTATTTCCTTCAGAAGACAAAATAATTAGGCTGCTCTAGGTAGTAACTAAGGCTTTTGTGCCAAGATTCAGTTCAGGGAATAATTTGTCTCAGTTTTATAGTACTAGTTGGTATATAGTGAATGCAACATATGTACAGCAGAAAAATAAACTTACTTTTCTGTAGAACAGTTGGAATAAAGCTTACATGGTATTTAAGGATCACTTGGCTCTCTGAGGATGAGACCAGTGCTTACACCATGACTCGTTCCTGTCAGACCCCCTGAGTTCACGTGTAGCTCTAGAGCAGGTCACAGTGACCAGAGCAGCATCTGAGCAGCCCCCCAGCCAGGAGGGAATGTTTGGGGTGGGATGGAGCAGACAGGAGCTCCCTGGGTGCTGGCTGTGATCAGCACTCCTGCCACCCTTGCAGGACACGACTCAGCTGTGCTCCCAGGCCCTGGCAGGCTTCTTGCTCCGGGGGGGAACAACTTCTCAAGCAATGGCTTCTGTGTGCTCACTGTATGTTTTTACTTGTCAGTTAATTTTTGCTCAGGGCAGTACTGGAGGTTTGGAGGAAAAGGTGGTTCCCATGGGTAGATCACGTGGCAGATCCTGGAGACTTGTTTCCCTTCAGTAGTGCTGGGGAAGCCCTTATAGATAAAGACTGAAAATATTTATTTAAAATAGAGTAGCACTTCTCCTGATCAGGATTCTTCATTTGTGCTCTACCTGGATTCGTTTCTGTCCCTGTTTTTGCAAGTTTCCACATTGTTGTTATTAACCTGAACCAACTGTTCAGGCTGACAGGTCACTTTTTTGTTTCTTTAAATCACTGGTAAGTGAATGCAACGTGGAGCCTTGATGAACTGAGCAAACATTGCACTGTGGGTACATATGCGTGTTTGTCTTTGTTGATGCACTATTAGAACCGAGGGGCTGTACATAGAATTTTGCTTTGGAGCAATATTTGCAAAACTTGAAAACTTCTGTATCTTGGTGTTTGGAATAAATAAATAGGTTTTTGTTGGATAAGTCTTAGTAAAGTCTTTGTTTCAATTAATGATTGCTCAATAAAATAACTTTGGACTTTTTTGCTTGACATCACATTGAAATGCAGGTATTGTAGTTTGTCAGATATATAGATCTTAACTGTTCCTGAAGTCTGGAAATTATTGTTTTCCAGATTTTTGTCATATAAATCTGGAAATAGGCAGACTGTTATGTATTGGGTTTTGTTCAGTATTGTTTAATGAGGAGCTTGTACATTTTATTCCCAAATCCTAATATATGTAATGGATTAGTACCCGATACGTGTGATCTGACCCTTGTCTTTGTTCCATTTGGATGAGCAGCCTGGCGGGGCAGAGGCAGTGCAGGACTAGGGATGGGCTGAAGGAAGGAGCTCGATGCATTTGAACAATCCTTACAGAGAAAACATGAGGGCATGGGAAGGGGAGGAAGCTGGTGAGTGCTGGAGGAGCAGCGTACCTGGCACAGGCTGCCTGAAGGAAGGGCAGGCGTTGGTGTGCCTTCAGGTGCATTTCTGGTTCAGTCTCTTCCTCTCTGTTTCCCCAGCAGGAGAGCACGTGTATTCCCTGGTCCTAACAAACTTTGTTTTCTAATTTCTTTCTCAAAAAAAGCCACTCTTGTAAAACTGGATTTTAAGGCTGGAGGGCACATCGCTGCTGGAGCCTGGTTTGTGAGCCACTGGTGGCAGATCCCAGCGTGTCTCGTGGCTCGTGCAGGTCTTTGCTGATCACTTACATGTCAAAATTGGGTTTTGAAGTTGCGGTCTGAATTTGACATAATTCAGTGGTATGTGTGCCACGGCTTGCCATGTTTTCAGGAAAGTGTGCCCTGGGATTTATTTCCTTGCCTAATCTGAAGGCTCCTGCAGATGCCACAGCAGAGGCAGCTGCTCCATCAGCTGTCAGCCTGCCTGTGGTAGAGTCACGTTGAAGCTGCTCAGCCAAAGAGATCAGACACAGCCATGTTACTGTTCTCACTGTTAATTGCCCAGAAGAGGATCTGTGCAGGATCTGGTGTTGATCAGGGTGCAGCCCATGGCTGCTGTTGGTGCTGGTTGTGCTGGCAGCGCAGCAGCCCCGCTGGCCCCGGTGCCGCATCCGACTGCAGGAGTGCTTGTGCCCGGGGCTGCCTCTGCTTCCTCGGCAGAGTTCTTGAGCACTGCAGGCCGCTGCAGTGGTTCCAGCAGAGTTTCATATCTGTGTGTTTAATCCTTCAGGGTGCACAGCAGCTCTTGTGAAGTGAAGGAACTAGGTACAGCTCTTGTTCTGGGTAAAACCTGCCGCAGGTACCCAGAACAAGGTCCTGTTTGAACAGACAAGGTAACGGTAAATACCACATTTTCTTTCCTGGTAGAACAGAGATGCAGACAGAAAAACTGAGAGCAAACCAGCGAAACTGGGATTCATCCTGTCCTGCTGTGGCATGTTGCTGCTGGTGGTATTTGTGTGCCGTCAGGTGTTTGGACAGGAGGGGCTGGATGGGACCACAGATCCTTGGAATGCTCCACACTTGGGCCTGAGGCCCTGCATGGCCCTGTTTCCCATCGAGGTGGGGGAGATATGAGCTGCATTGGGCTCAGGAATAGGAGCTGTGTGTACCTCCTGAGCTTTCAGACTGGTGGCTTTAAGTCCTAGAGCTTGAGTACGGACGTGGCAAAGGACACTAGGGAAGGTCCTGCTCCTAAAGGGATCGTTTCTCTGCCCTCTTGTGTCTGTTGGGGTGAGGGTTGGCTGGATGCTGCCCTGAGCCTGGGCTCCAGGCACAGCTGTGTCCTTTGCACAGAGGCTCAGAGCTGATGGAGACACTCTGCCTGCTTTGCAGCTCCTCTTAATCCCTTCAGAAGTCCCTTTGATCCCAGCAAATGCTGGGCAGGTGCTCCAGGGAAAGATGCTCAGTTTGGTTTGAGGGGGATGAAGGGCAGTGCATAGTCTTGTCTGGCTGGGTCGCACATCTGGGTGTCAGTAGGTACTTGTCACTTCAGAGGGGGGTGGTGACAGGGCTCTGGGGGAGGTCATGCTGCCCACAGTGCGGCTCATGTGGCCAAAGTGGCCACAGCTCACAATCCCCTCAGGAGAGAAGCTGGGGAAGAAGCTGGGAATCCCCTGGGGAGAGGCTGGGAAGCTCCTCTCCCTGTGAGGGTCCTGGGCACTCAGAACACCACCAGGGAGGACCTGCTGGCTCTCCAGGACTCCAGCTGTGGCCCCTCCCCTGCCCTGGCACTGGTGGGTCTTGTCAGGGCTTGTTGAGTCTCTTCGGAGCCCTCAGTGTCCCTGTCCTGCACTGCCTGGGACAGGAGCCCTGTGGCCCCCTTCCCTGGCTGAGTGGGCACTGCTGCTCCTGGGAGCTGTTGGACCCATCTCTGCTTCTGTCACCTGCTAAAACCTGCCTTGTACCCATGGGGTTCAGAGGCTGCAGCATTCAGCCCTGGGAGGCAGGGAATGGGGCTGGGCCATTTCCCAGCATGAGTGGCATGTGCCCAGAACAAGGAGCTCTCAGGACAGCGAAGGTGGAGGTCTCAGAGGCTGCTGGTGATGTGGCAGGATTTGAACAGCCTTTCCAACCACATCTGTCCCATATTACCTGGCTCCCTGTTAAAAATAACAGGAGCAGCAGCCTCTTGATTGTGGCAGTAGAACCACCCATGTGTGTAAATGCATCCAACAACCTGGGTGCATGGTGGAGGAAGGAGACCAAGACCCTCCTCACTTCACACAACGTGGGTCAATGGCAAAAGTAAAGGATGCAAAAACCCTCTTGAGTTGCCTCAGGGGCCCCAAGGGTGACAGCAGGAGCCAAGGCCAAGGCTGAGGGGCAAACCCCAGCTTCTGTCCTGTGCTGAAGCCACCTGGGCTGAAGGTTGGGGCTGAGCAGGTCTGTAAAGCTCTAGGCAGAGAAGGAAATGAGAAAGTGATGGTAGGTTGCAAGAGTGAGCTCATCAGACAGGAACAGGAGGAGGGGATTGGAGCATGTCCAAGCCTGGGGGAAGGGGAGTCCTTCTGCACTGACCTTGGGGTGCAGAGGGGGAAGGAAGAGAGAGGGGATGGCACCGAGCAGTGAACCCTGTGGCCACAGAGGAACTCCTGCTTTGCTGATAAGGGCCTGTTGAAAGTGGAGGCTCAGGAGTGTGGCTGCTCTGAGGTGTTTCTGCTGCTGCCCAGGCCCCTCAGCCCCGTGGGGTAGCTGAGATCAGGGTTGTACATGAGGGTTGTTTGCATTCTGCTTTTCTGAATCTACTCCTGGCACAGACCTGTTTCTTCCCCCATCATTCCTAGAACAGCAGTTGTGACATTAAATTACACTTTTAAACCTCCTAGGTTCATAAATTTGCCCGAAGAGAGGGCCAGCCGTGACTTGTGGCTCCTCACCCCAGCTAGGGGCAGGAGCAAAGCCCCCAGGCTGTGGTGGTGAAACAACCCCAGGGGCAGGTCACAAAGTGTTCACAAACTCTCAGCTGTGAAGGAGATGCCTTTTAATTGAGACACTACAGATGATTATTGCTGCATGTCCAGCAGGATCCTGTTTTATGGAACTTACAATCCATCTGTTAAAAGGTTTAAAAATCAGCTGCTTTGAGCACAGTCAGAGGCTCATTTCCCCCCTGGCTTCTGGTCCCAGCAAGCAGATCAGTGAGATGGGGGGGGGTGAGAGCATGAGGGGCTGTGGCTGCTGCTCACAGGCCCTTCCTGCACAGGCACCCACACCCAAAAATGTTTGAGCGTGAACTTGGGGGGTCTGACGGGGTTGGGCTGTTTTTCCACGTGGGCCAGGATTTAGCCTGTTGGGTGTTTACATCCTCTCTCTGCTGCTGTGGCAGCGCAGATGCCAGGAGCATCCTGTTGCAGCCTCTGGGGCAGGCAGGGCTCCTTCTCTGTGCAGCCTCTGCCGCCTCCTCCTCCTCCCAGGGGCTCTGGTGCTCAAAGATCCCATCCCTGAGTGCCCAACTCGGGGGAGGATGGGCCCTCGGGCAGCCCCTTCCTCCTGCACTGGTGCCTGGCCCCACCTTGGTGTGGGCTGTCCCGGGCCCAGCTTCCCCAGCATCGAGGAGCTGGGATTGTGGCTGAAAGCAGGAGAAGGCTGAGCTGGGGGATGGGTGTCCAGCACAGGCTCTGGCCAGCTGGGGCCTGTCCTCAGCTGTTCTTTGCCCCGTTCCCTGCGGGGTCTGGCTCAGGGTTGTCGGTCTCTGAGAGGAGCAGGTAGGAGCTGATGGCTTCCCGCAGGCCCAGGCTGAAGGGGGAGTCCTCCGGGGGAGATGCGTTCTCCGAGAGCAGGAGGGAGCTGCTCGGGGCAGATGGGGCAGTCAGCAGGCAGCCCCCAGAGCTCGCGGGTCTGGCAGGGCTGTGGGAGCCTCAGCTCCTGCCCTGGATGTTCTCACCTGTCGATCTTGTCCCAGTGCAGCGACGGTTTCTTGACGAGAGGCGGTGTTGGAGCCGGGGCCGCCCTCATGCCGTCTGTGGAGCAGGGCTGGCTGAGGGGGCAGCACAGCCCCGCGCTGAACTCTGGGCACGGAGCCAACAGCATCAGCATCGGCAGCCCCCCAACCCCGGGCACCTGGGCAGGTGGGGCTGCCACCTTTCCCCCTCCCTCCCTCCGGGGCGCGGGGCATCTCCCCACACACACGGCTCAGGGTGCTGGGGCTGGCGGGGCATTACCAGAGTAGTGGTCCACCAGGCTGTGCAGGCTGGGGAAGGTGAGCCCGGGGGAGATGTAGATCCAGCCGTTCTCCAGCCGGTGGATGCGGTAGTGAGTCACCGAGGCCCAGGCAGCGCGTTCCCCGCGGCGCAGCGACAGTGAATAGCAGCCTGGAGGGCGCGGGGCCGAGGGCTCGTGTCTGGGCTGCCCTGGGCACCCACCCCGCCCCACCGCCCTGCCTGGGCTCTCTTACACCCTGCGGGGCTCTGCCGTCACACAAGTGGTGTCACCCTTCCCATGGAGCTCTGCATCCCTGTGCCAGCCCCGTGCCCTGAGGACCTCCAAACCAACCCGGGGATGGGGGAGGGCTGGGACATCAGATGTCCTTGGTGCCTCAGCCATCTGCACCACAGCACCCGGCACGGTCTCCTTCACAGGGTCCCCTTGCTGTGGGGGGGCCCTGTTTCATTTTGTGGGCTGAGCTTTATCACTTCCCTTCGTAACCCAAAGCTGTAGGAAGCCGATAGGTGTTTGTTCTTTTGAGGCCCCGTGGCAGGGGCTCAGCACAAAGCGGGAGAGCAGCAACACCGAGGAGCAGACTGTGGGGAGGGCCATTGCCAGGAGATGTGAGCAAGGGTTCCCTCCCCCTGCTCCTTGGCAGCCCACGGGGGAGGACTGGGAGGGGAACAGGAGCCGGGCCCGAGGGCTCTCACCTCGCCTGGTCTGGCTCTCCCGTATCAGGAAGGACCCGCTGTGGTTGCCTGGACGGAGCAGCAGCTCCTCCGCCTTCTGCCGACTGACGCCCTCGTACAGCCACCTGTGCGGGCAGGGGCACTGGCAGGGACCCCAGGGCACAGTTTGGGGTGCAGCAGCACAAGTCCTGGGGACACTCCAGCACGCTAGGCCACCTCCCCCAGCCCCAGCACTGCTCCACGGCCAGGGGGAGACACAGGGCAGGAGGTCCTGGTGTGGTGGCCAGGGTTTGGCCTTGGGGTTGGCCACATTCTGGCAGTGGGGCCGTGTCCCCAGGACCCTCCCTGGGACAGACCCTTCCCAGCATTTACCCGTGCCTGATCTTGGCCACACAGCTGCTGGGGACGTGGCACTCCTTACCAGACACCTCGGACACCACCAGCCACCATTCGCCGTCCCTGCAGGGAAGAGGGATGACCTGGCCTGAGGGGCTGGGGCTGCAGCGTGCGGGAGGAGACCCGCAGGGTGGATGCCACCAGTGTGGCCCCACGGGCTGGACACTGGTCAGCTCTCACTTGGTGCGGGGACTTACTCAGAGAGGATGCGGAGCTGCTCCCCCATCCTCAGCACAGTGGCCACCCCTGTGCCGGAGGGGAAGTCACAGAGGGCCAGGGCCTGGAAACTGCTGGGGGCTGCAGGGAAGGTGAGAGGGCTCAGTTTCCCCCGCAGTGCCAGCCCCGGCTGGGGCAGGAGGACCGGGCACGAGGTGGGGGTTGGCCCAGCACTTACCTGCCTGGGCCGGCAGCGGGGGCTGCGTGGTGTCAGCAGATACTGATGCGATGCTGAGCGGCTTCTCCCGGCCAGGCAGATTCCCCATCCCTGGGGTTCAGCCCCTGGGCTGCTCTGTCTGGAAGGGATGGAGGGCCTCAGGCTCATGGGTCACATCCCTCGCCCTGTGTCCTGGGCAGGGCATTTCCATGGGATGATGCCAACACGGTCCAGGGCAGGGCTTTGGGCTGGGGCTGAGCCTGGCCGGCAGCTCCCCGGGGGAGCCCTTCAAGGAAACCACCCTCCCACCATCACAGAGGGTGGGATGTCTGGGGACTGCCCAGGACAGGGCATCTGCAGCCTCATGGGGGACAGCCCCTGGCCAGGCTCACTCTCTGCATGCTGCCATCCTACCCCAGCCCCCTGTCCCCCAGGGCCTGGGGCACCTATCCCAATGCCCCAAGCTGCTGGTCCCCAGGGGGATTCAGGGGCTGTGGAAAACACCTGTTCCTGTTCCTTGACCATGGAGAGGTGCAGTTGGAGCTGTGTGTGACCCGGACCCGTCCCAGGCTGAACTCCCCTCCTTCCCTGCCCTGACTCTGTTCCTTCCCTAGTGAGAGATGAACGCCACTTACCTGCCTTCCACTGCTGTTACCATTATTTGGGTGCTGTCAGGCCAGAGCAGCCATCAGCCAGCTCAGCCCTCCCTGCATGGTGGAGCCTCGGGACAACCAGGGTGCACGGGGACCCTCTGGCACAGTGGGTGGCAATCGCTGCCCTTGCCAGACCCCTTGGTCCACCCTCAGCCCGCTCCAGGGCTGAGTGTCAGGTCCCAGTGCTGGGGCTGCTCCCGGCGGCAACACCGCGAGGGCTCTGAGGTGCTGCAGCTGCGGTTGCTGCTTCCTGTGACGTGCACACACTAGACCGGGTTTCTCCTTTTCACTCAGTCCCAGGTCACTCAGCTGAGCTCCCTGGGGCCTTTGGTGTGGGCACCAGGCCCAGGTAAATCCCTGTGGGCACTCAAGGCACTGGGCATTGCATGGGATTTGTGGGTGGGGAAGTGGGAGGGATGGGCAGCACATGAGAGCAGGAGCAGAGCTGACACCAGGAATCGTAGGCTGAGCTGGACATGCACCATCCCCAGGGTGGTCTTAGTGAAGGGGGGGATGTCCCAGGGTGTCTCCTCACCTGCAGCAGCACCAGGGCCAGGTGCTGCCCTCAGTGGGTGAGTGGTGCTGGATGTATTGGGCAGGGGGCAGTGGTTGGGATGCTCATGGGCACGCACAGGTACCTTGCGAGACAGCACTGCCCCAGAGCCAGCACTGCCCTACAACCAGCACTGCCCACTGTGCCCACCCCAGGCTGGGTTACGGGTGGGAGCAGCCCCAGCTCTGTCCCATCTCCACCCTCAGCCCATCCAGGCCCAGCAGCCGCTGCTGGTGTGGGACCATTCATTGCCCAGACTGTGTGTGTGGACCATCCACCTTTCAAAGCACACACTGCTTGGCTCAGCCAGCACCACCTCCGCTGCCCTCATGCCCCCCACCCGTTCCCCCCCCGCCCCCCCCCCCCCCGAGGTCAGGACCCTCTGATGCACACAAACACCCACCCCCCCAATCCTGCCCTGAGGAAGGTCCTTGGGATTTGCTCTCAGCAGCTCCCAAGCTCATGGCCCAGCTATGCAGTGTGGACTGTGTCCCCCCCGCCATTTCCTGCCGTGTCCCCGCTGTGGGAACAGACACTCGGCAGCCTCCTGCCACAGCTGCACGTCCTGCTACTGTTTGTGCTGAAACTTGAAAGTTTCTGGTCAGCTGTAACTGCCTTGACAGTGTGAAATACACTCGGGTTCAACAAGGCTTCTGGGCCTTGTGCTACTCTTGGGGCTCAGGACCCTCCCCCAGGCAGTGCTGTTTTCCAAGAGGTTGATTATGTCTTGGAACTGGTGGTGCAGCACCATTGGGGTCCTTTTGGATGTGGGGGACAACCCTTGGTGTGCCATGACCTGCCCTCCCCACCTCCAAGCCCTGCTCTGGGCTCAGAGCTGGAAAATAAAATAGGGCCTCAAGTTCCCCTCCCCAGCCTGAAGTGGGTAAAGTGGCTTTCTGGCAGCACGTGGATTTCCGGGTCAGCACAGCCTCCCCAGCAGCTGAGGCCCTGCAGCCCCCACGCAGAAACCTCAACCCATGGCTGCAAGTCACACTCTTCTATCAGTGACCCAGAGCTCTGCTCAGCCAGACTCACCCTGTGCTGAAGGAGACGCTTAACAACAGAGAAATTTGGCATCTTGGGCTGGACACGCCACTGAATGAACTTGCCCCAAGGTTTTAAGCAATTGGGAATTCAGTGCTAAGGGAACGGGAGCATGGGAAAGCGCTGGATCCCTCTACCTGTCCTTCCCTGGCTGAGCCCCCCCAACTGGGGCATCCCAGCTCCCAACAGCAGAAAGAGATCAGGGAAACACTCCACCATTTTATAGGGACTTACTCCAACCTCCCTGCTGCTCCTCCAGGGGTGGGAATGCCCGTCCGTGCCCTGCAACCAGTGGCATCCAGCTCACACCCCCGCAGCCAGTGGGTTCAGGACCCCAGTCCAGGAGAGGCCGTCTTGAGCTCAAGCTCTTTGCCTGGATTTAGTTGGTGTTGTTCATGTTGCCCAAAGAAATACTGTCCTTTACTAAACTAATTTCTCACCTTGTATTTTGCTTTGATTTTTTTTCCTTTTTAACAGGAAAAGCACTTGCTTATGTAAAACCAAGTTTACTTTTCCTAGTTATTCTTGGGTAATAAAATCTATGGCAACCATCACTACAGATCTTGCCTTGCTTCTGCCCATGAGCCACCATGGCAACAGCACTCCTTGCTAAACCATTCCTCTTCCAAATTGCTAAAATCTCATCTCTGTATTAAGCTGGGCTCCTAGTCCAGGAGCAGCCTGGAGCTTGGTGCTCCACATCATCAGGAACAGCACTTGCCAAGTTTGCACCTGCCCCTGCTGCAGGATCATTTCCTCTGACTCATTTCCCTGTCATTTAAATATTGTGTTTCCTTTTTTTTTGGGCTGGAGACAGGACAGTTCCTGGGTGCAGCCCGCTGGTGTTAGATCCCAGTGCTGCACCTACACTGGCTCCTCTCCTGGTGCTTTGCATCCAGCACCTGCATCCAGAGGTGCTGAACTTCCTGCTGTGCCTGGGGCTGGGTCTCCTCAATGGTCTCCTGTCTCCTTTAGATTCAAATGCCTGTTTGTGCTCATCCCTTTGTACTGCCACTACTCATTCATTGACACAACTGGCCAGGGTTTCCCATTTCTCAGCTGTCATTCAGTGTGCACTTCAGAAGAACACTTTGTCTCACTCCTGCAATGACCTCCCCCAAAGGTCTCATAGACAGTCCAGGCAGGATCCCATCCCACAGCACAACAGCGAGACTGGGACTAACTCGTGCCCAGCACCATAACCCTGCTGCAGCCCCAGTGGGCTCTCCATGGATTATGGTGACACCTGACAGCAGGGCAGATGTGCCAGCAGACATCCTGCTGCCATCCAAACTGCCCTCTGCCCTCTCGTGTCATGGCAGTGGCCTTGTCACAGGTTTGCACGTTAACTCTGCTTCAGGGAGGGCAGGGGGCTCCGAGCACTGCCTGTTGGGAGGTGGTTCTTGCCTGTGTTGCAGCAAATCTGTTGTTTTGTCTCCATTCTGGACGTTTCTAGTTGCATTTTGGTAGAGGCCAGCTCTCTCCAGCGCCCTTGGACAGCCTCTGCCAGGGGCCACTGTGCCACCAAACACATTGTCCCAGTGCAGAGGTGCCCAGTCCTCTCCCTGCCATGAGGAAGAGTTTGCCTCTTCCTGCAGGAAACACCCAGACTGGCAAACCCCGAGGGGTGCAGGTTGCCAAGAGAAACACCAGGAGCACACGGGGTAACAATGAAACTCAGTTAGTTATAGCTTTATTCAATAACTGGTACAAAGTTCCCCTCAGGCAGAGCCTCCCCATCCCATTCCCTACCTGAAATGGCGCAGATTGTGAGCGTGACCCTGGGAGGAGCTGGCTCCCAGAGGGTCAGGGCTGCTTAGCAGTGAGGAAAGGATGTTTTGCTCATCCATCAAGACCTGCAGCAGCCTGACCACTCGTCCCTTTTCTCCCATTAACACCAGACCCTGGCACGCAGCAGGTATCTGCTGTCCACCCTTGGTGACCTGGCCAGGTGTAAAAAGGCAGCAAAATTGTGAATCCCACAAAGACAGTAAGTAGTACCTGCATAGAGTGTTCACTGCTCACCCTTCTGACCAGACTCACAGGAATGTGTCATTGTTGGCTGTTATTTACATTCCTGCCCTCAGGTAACTGCACCCTGTGCAGACCCTGCCTGGGCAGCAGCAGTGGGAGGCAGAGCTGGCAGTGCAGGAGATTCTGGGATCTTCACCTGGCAAGGGGCACTGCTTCCCATTTCACAACCTGCTCAAGATTAAAGATTCACCTGTGGCAGGGTAGAACAGTGACAACGTGTCACTGCATCCTACCCTTCTGCCGGGTCAGCAGAGGGTTGTGGAGGTGGTCTGGGAGCCAGGGCTGCTGGAGTTTAATCCCTTGTACTTGGTTAATAGTGCACCTTGTTAGTGGAAGTTTACAGGTAAATTATTTGCTCTTTCAGGAGGCTCAGGTAAGAAATCACTCTGCTCCTTCTTAACACACACACAGATGAGATCAAGACAGTATTCCTGACCATTTGTTTTTCTCATGGCTGCCTGGCATGTGGGAACACACAGACCTTCCAGTGGGCTCTGTGCCCCAGGCACAGCTCCATACAGAGCACTGCCTGCTCCAACACCTGGAGTGCCACATCCTTGTGGTCTTGCTTTCCCACGTCCCACCGATGCCATACCAACTGCACCACAAGGGTCCTGTAGCAGAAGCACAACTAGAAAGCAATTCTAAACCTCACAAAGCCACAGAAATTATATTTAAATGAAGAGGGGAGACAACGGCTGTCATCTGGATTGATCCACAGCACAGACAGGAGGTGGCATCAGCATGTACAGTAACGGGACTTACTAAGACCGCGGAATGTCAACGAGTTTTAAAGAGGCTCTGATGCCGAGGGAATACAGAAAG